TGGTGTTCAATATCGTATATACATGTTTTGGAGTAATAGCAGAACCTGAACTGTGCATGTGCTCTGATATTTTCTTAAAAATATTATGGGATGGGGGAAATACTTTGCCATTTTCATCAAAGGCTTTATACTCTGCTCTCCCTAAAGTTTCAAGCAGCTTCTCGCGATCATACATGACGTACTTTTTCTAAAAAAAAAAAAAAAAAAAAAAAAAACAACGAAGAAATAGCTTTTTTTTGTATATTATATATTAAAAAGCAGTGTCAATTATATCTAGAGAATCAGTTATATCTAGTGAAGAGCGAACTCAACGCAATGTTTAAGAATCAGTGAGAAATACGCGAGCGGATCGCTTTTATAACATTCGCCTGTCTCAGCCCATCAGACACGCGCAGCGCGCTATCTCTATCTAGGAAGAGAGAAGACGGAGCCCCGGCAGTTATTACGGGTAAGAGAGGTCCGCGAGTCCGCGAGGAGAGATCGGACGCCCGACCTGTGGAGGGGATGCGCTGCCAGCCGAATGTTTCCGAGTTAAACGAAGTAAAAACTGAATCAGTATAAACTGAAAACATGTGGAGAACCGAAGAAAATTGGAGAGGATTAACCAGAGGAATCCAGTGTTGGGTAGCACCTCACGAGTTCTACCAAAAACTATTAAGGCTCGAAGCGCTACGACCGATATATAAAAAGTTCTCGCGATTTTTCGTATGTCGGGTCGAAAAATTTCTAAGTTCCAAAGGATAAAATTTTTGTTTCGTAAACCGGGCAATTTTATCAGAGTTCTGGGTAGCACCTCACGAGTTCTACCAAAAACTATTAATGCTCGAAACGCTACGACCGATATATAAAAAGTTCTCGGGATTTTTTGTATAATCAAAATAATTTTTTTTAAATTTTGGGAGTTCTGTTTTGAGTTCTGGGTAGCACCTCACGAGTTCTACCAAAAACTATTAATGTTCGAGGCGCTACGACCGATATATAAAAAGTTTTCGATATATTCCGTTTTTGAGTAAAATAAAAAAAAATTTTTTTTAAGTTCTGGGAGTTCTGGGTAACACTTCAAGAGTTCTAAAAGAAATCCTGGCAAAATTAAATATTTTTAATACTTTTATTGTTATCGCTGATTTAAGGATTTCATTTTGTGAAGTTAGCACCCCCAAAATTAATCAACGGTTTTTTTAGCTTTATTCGCCGGTATTATTTCCAAAATTGACAAGGAACTCTAGAACTCTTCGGGGTGCATTCAGAACTTAAAAAAAAAAAATAATTTTTTTAAAGATGGGGTGTTAACTTCACAGAGGTGGGCGCGTCCGAACTCGCCTGAACTCGTTCGAACTCGTTTGAGGTCGTTTCTGTCGACGTCCCGCGCGGTGTTGGTGCGAGTGAGTGCGTGAAAAATGCGTTCAAGTTCGTTTCATTCGCGGATCGCGGTCACCTTTCTTCGATATTGTTTTTTCTCGGTCCGAAGGTCGTTCTGATCCTTCCCCGCGTATCGCGGATGACGTGATCGCCGCGATTTCGGGGGTAAGCGTGGTTGTGTAGAGATAGGTATACGGATCTGGGAAAAAAGAGAAAAAAGAAAGAGAGAGCGCACAGATAAGATACGTAGTTTTTTTATTTTGAAAAAATACACGCACGTCGACGTGCGTTTACATTATTTCGCGCGTATGAATATATATTTGTAGACGCGCGTCGCGACATTATTAGAATCGGAAACAGAACGCGGTGATCTCGCAGTCGACGATGTTGTTAGGATCGAAGAATTCGCTCTTCAGTATCGCAGTCTGAGCCGAAGTTTCCACTTTGATCACGTTGGCGGCTATCTTCCAATAGCGCGAAAACTTCGCGTCGACCTCCTCGGTCGCCGTGCTCAGCGCCGAGACGATGCGTTCGACGCAAAATTGGAGATCGTACAGCGTGAGCAGTTTTTGAGCGCCATCGCCACGCGAGCCGCGTTGGATCGACAGGTTGTTGATCAATCCGAATTGCAGCGTCATTCCTCCGATCGATATGAGGGGGGGCGGGTTCCATCGAGGATGGATTGCATGGACGACAATATGTCGCGTTTGCGCTCGACCAGTCCTTTCCACATGTCGAGCGACAGGGAAGACCTCCCTGCCTTGTTTATCTCCCAGGGCGATATCCACGTACGAAGGCGTAGTATGTATACTGTACCACGGTGACTTAGTCGTGATACCTATGGCTATGTACTTGTAGCCAGTCGTCGTCAGCAGATAACGCGTCGTCAGGACGCGCACTGCGGGCAAATCGAGAGGCATGTCGGTAAGAGGGTAAGAGCTGGAACGCGACTCCCGATGATGATGACGATGGTGATCGTCCGTCAGATCGATCTTTCGTATTTTATTGCCGTTGTCGTTCATCTCCAAATCCGCCTCACAAGGGGAAATACCCTTCGGCGCGGGTCGATCGGTCAACGTCGAGAACATTTCGCACGCGCGCTGCAGTAACCGTTCGTTTCTGATTTTTTCCGACGCGTCGTATTCGGCTAGCGATGCGATACTGATGCTTTGGGGGGGACACATCTGTATAAGTAGAAAAGTTCTTACTTATGTCGCGCGATGTGTGGTGTGGCTTGGCGTGGTGTGGGAAATTTGCGCGGTCCTCTATTTCCTTCGGCGGATACGGCGATTGGAAAGCCGAACGCCGTTGTCGTCATCGTTCGAATAATCGCTCGCCGGTGACGTTAAATCATCTTTGAGGCGTACGATTCGATCGAGGAGATCGTGCAACTGCTGCAACAGTTCGGGGCAGACAATATTTAGCATCCACAGATCGAATTTACCAGCCGACGAGACGGTCCTCGTAAATTCGTTAAATTTGTAGAACTGCATTCGAGTGGTGAAGTACAGATTGCCGTCGACGTAGCGGAAGATCGACGTCACGCCGGTCGGTATTCCGGGAAACGTCGCCTCGAGAGGCGTAAATTTGGCGACTCTCTTGTCCTTGTCGCATTCGTCTATCTCACCCACCGAGTTACCGTTGAACACCATGAAAGAATGTCTTTTGTGGGTGTTCACCGCTTCGTTGATTATTGTTTTTTCGGGAAATCCGAGTTCTTGCAAGGTCTTCGGCCAACCTGGCCGCAGACTAAATTCCGGATATTGAACCAAGTATACCAAATTATCTACGAACACCACGAGATCGCCAGACGGGGATTGATAGGCGGCGGTCACGCGCGTGTAATTGTCGTGAAAAAAGCTCATGTGATGCAAAAGAACTAAAGGCCCGTTGTACGTTCTACCGTCCAGATCGATCGACCAAACGTAACGCTTGTACAAGATGTACATGCGATTTTCTAAAATCAATATCCCGTTCACGCGATCGAGGCTGCACAGGTCCGGCATTGGCGGCGGCGGCGCCGTCGCCGGCGTCTACGAGGGCTCGTTCGTAATTTTTTCACCCTACAAACGTTGAATATCGGCAATGTCGTTTTGGTCGAGCTTGACCGGATACTGCTTGTCGGGCGTAAACGCGAACATCACCGATGTTTTGCGTCTATTGTGCAACAATCCGAGAGGGTGACCGATCTCGTGCGTTAGCATGTAATGCAGGGAGAACCTATCTGCGAGGTGTTTATTGATGCAAATGTGCCACGGCTCGTCCCTGTCAACGTGCACTTCGGAGGCGAACCCCGCTTCGTCCGTCGGGAGAGACGTGTGGGGCGAGCACGTTACCGGGACCGTCGAAGCTGTTCGAGCAAATTGGTCCGTTTACCTTGATATTCGTGTTATAGTGACGTAGGCGTCGCCAAGATATTATAATGTCAGGATTCGTTTCGGAGCGTTCGAACGTCAATGCCGAATGCTGCGACCACAGGTCAAACGCGGCCCGCGCCGTGCTTAGCTCGGCCTCGTTGGCTACGTAAAAATTCCACGTCAGGTGCGTCTTCGGCCATTTGGATAAACTCGCTTTCGTTCCGTGCTTCAGGATATCTCGGAAACCGCATTGCGGCTTACTCATCAATTGCAGCGTTTTGTTAGGCGTTCCATCGCTGGGTAAATCGTAGTAATTCTGAAAATCCTCGAAGGCTTTGCGAAGAACGTCGTTTCGTCTCTGAGCTGGAACCGCGTCCACATCTTTGGACAGATATCCGTATTTCTGTAGATAGTCGAACGTGAGCGCGTAATTTTGGTCCGTAATTTTGGGATTGATGCACCTCACGGCGATAAAACACGCGGTTAACGCGATTACGCGCGCGAGCCACATCGTCGAGAGCGAGAGACGGCGGAACTGCGATGACGGCGCGTTGCGGTTTGAGCGCGATCTCGATGAGCGTTTCGGATGCGAACGTTTACGCGAGGACGTTTGTTAGCAATAACGCGGATAGGTGGCGGCGGGGATCTCGGGTGGGAAAAAAATGCGTCGAAGATTCCGGCGGATAAGTCGGTTTGATAAAATGCATCTTTCCTCGATGCATTTTTTCCCGGATGTAAAAAAACGCTATTCTTATTACATTTTTTACCGCGATATCCTCCCTTTGTCGCGTTTTCTCGGCGCGGATAGGTGCGGCGGCGGGGTCTTGGGTGGGAAAACGCGTCGATTCCGGCGGATGAGTCGGTTTGATAAAATGCATTATTTTCCTCGATGTATTTTTCCTCGACACAAAAAATGCTATTTTTAGTATATTTTTTTACCGCAACATTTTTTTTACTATATATAAGAACTCGAGACTAGACTTAGGTGTAGTCTATTCGCACTCTTCTAGCGAACTCTTGAGTAAATCAAACTTAATAAGACGATGGAGAAACTTAGAGAGTGTGACGAGGGAGGTGGAAGATTATTGTAACACGGTGCGGCAGTTGCAGCTGCGTGAGGAGTATAACTGAAAAAGTGCCCCCCTGTCTGCAACTCACTGTTTGCATGGACGAGGACGCCGTAATGCTGGAAAGAACGTAAGTATCACGTTCAAATGCGAAATTATTTCTTATAATATAATTAAATAACAAATTTTATATGTTTATTTATATTTTAATTTACATTTATTTATATTTATTATTTACATTGTAACGATGCGCCTTTTTCAAGGCATCGTGCTCAATCGCCACCCGCCGGGTGCCGCCCGACCGATTCTTTAAACGCAAAACGCGGCACCGGTGCTTTCCCCGCACGGCGCCGACAAGCGCCGGAGGGAGCCGATCCCCGCCGAAGGTGAGCGCGCGGGACCGCACTGATCCCACTACCGCGCGACGTTGCGCGAATTGGTCTATGCGGGGCAAACGTGTATTAAGCACGGGCTTCGCGGGCTCACAGACTTGAGGGCTTACGTGGGCCGGACTTCAGGCGGCCCATGCAGGACTCTGAAAGAAACTTCGTCTTCACCACGGCGTTCCGCCGCTCCCGACGAAGCCTACCGTCCAAATCCTAGGGCAACATACAAAACGGGGTCCAGAGTTCTGAGCCTCGACTGAGGGTTCTCAGGTGTACCCAACCTCCTGCCCGAAACGAACCCCCAACGGCACAGTTCCGCGGGGTCGAGCGTGCTCGGCCTCGGAACGAGGGTTCTTGTTATACCGCAGCCACGGGATTCCGCAAATTCCCCGCGTTGCAGATCGCGCTTCCTGCCCGGGTTTAAAATACCGCGTCCGCATAAGAGTGTAATACCGCGTCTTGTACTCCACGCCGAGTGCACATGCACTACCAATTGTTGTAACATACCGCGTTCCGTTTGTCCGTCCTACCGCCCGAGTGCACCGGCACTACTGTAATATACCGCGGTCCGTCACCGTGTGTAAAGCCGCGTTCCGTTATTCTCTGTATAGTTATGTAATGGTTACTGGAGGGTAGCTAGTGCACTATCAAATACCGAGTTCCATCGCTATCAGCTTAATAGCTACCGAATCGTTGTAATATACCGCGTTCCGTTCGTCCGTCCTACCGCCCGAGTGCACATGCACTGCCGAATCGT